AAGCATTCAGTGGTGCTATTTAGATGCCTCCTTTCACCATAGTTCTTACCACTCCCAATAGTATCGCTATATTTATATACAAGCCACTTCTTTATTTGATCTATTTAGGCCCAGTACATATTTGAACGCACAATATCTGTAGTGATTTAAAATTTTAACTGAAGCATATTTTTACTTTCAGCACATTCACCCATCCAAGCATCCCCTTATTTATTCAATTTATACAGACAACCTCCTGTGGGGTGGGCACTGAGAATACAGAGATGGGGATGACATGGTCTTTCCCTTTCTGGAGCTTACAGCACATGGGAGCCCAGACAAGTAAACGAGTCATTACAAAATACAGTGTGGTATGCACCGTAACACAGGTGCGCATGGGCCACAGAGGCAGCGATGGCAAATCCTCTGAGGAATGAGGTGGGAATCGGGGACATGAGCAAAGAAAATGTGATTAAGGTGAGTACCTGGGGAGTAATTTGGAGCCTGCTGGGTGGACAAGTAAGCAGAGATCTTCCAGGAATACAAAGATGCATGTGCAAAAGCCCTAAAGTGTGAAGGAAGACCATTGCCTGTTTTTGGAATGCAGTCATCTAGAGTCTCTTGGAGCTTGGAAGTTGTGAATCCGTGCCTTGTTGGGTTGCGTTGGGAGAACCTATGTTCCGCTAAGACTCTCCAGCCTCTCTGTCCTTCAAGAACAGCCATACATATACCTGGAGTTAGTCTTCCTCATATTTTTGGCCAAACAGCTACTCTCTGTTTTCTACATCTAAGCTCTGGTCTTCCCATTCAAGGTCTGTAGGATACAAAAGGTAGTGATGAATACCAGTCTCTGATAAGCTTTTGAGCCAGGGCTCTCAGTGACAAACGGCCAAAGACAGACTTTTCCAGAGTTTTCTTCTCTTCTTTACTGTCAGTGCATGGTAGTTTGGGATGGGCATCTGTTAAATGAGCTCCTATAGCATCTACTTATTGCTATCCTAAGTGGTTAAGAACCAAAGGAATAAACCTATATGCCTTGACAGTGGTAAGTGCTCAGTAAATGTTTATAGAATGAATAAGACCTGGGTATGTCAAATAAAGTGGTTCTGAACTATAACATCTTTTCTGTGTCAGGAATTATCAGCACTTCACAACTAATTTTAAGAAAACAATGCCATGGCAAAAAATCAGCTAGCTAATTTTAACATTAGTCAGGCATAATTGGCTAATGTTAAATCTAGTAAATAATAGTGAGTGTTCATCAACCTAAGTTAAGGCTACCCTAATGATGCTAAATCAGTGTTCACAGTATTGCAATTTTGTTCATCCATTAATTTAGTATGAGGCAAACCCTTCTGATTACTATTAAGGTTGTTCGATTTATTATGTAAACTTTGGGTATCACTATTAGTATTTCACAGGGAAAAATATATAAATTAGCACACCTTCAATTTTCAACTTTGATTTTTAAATTCCCACAAGTCTAAATCAAGGTCCCTTTCATCATGGAAGTTGGGTGGGATGGGAAATAGGAGAAGCTCCAAGAACAGTGCTGTAAAGACAGTTGCAATCTGGTAAACATTTATTGGGTATCTCTTGATAACATTTAGATCAATTTTACTATTGTGACAGGAATAGTAAATGTAATGACTAATGAAATAATCATGTAACAAAAATAATAAGTTAAAATAATGAAAAATTACAGATAGAAATGAAGTTATTTTAAAATTTAAAAATATTTTTCAGATATTAGCTATTTACTTACCTATTTATTAAATATCTACTTATGTGTAGATTTTTTTTTTTTGATATTTACAAATGTGGAGATAAAGCATGTTGTCTGTGGAACATTCTCTCACTCCCTAATACTCTATATCCTATTTGCTATCATCATTCATATAATGGCTCTTCTGAAACACACAGAAACCATATGTACCTTCCCCCATATCCAAAACATTTGCCTTTGCTGATGAAATAAATGCAAACTATCTTATTGTATTTAAAGTCTGTCCTCTTCTAATTAATTTCTAAAATTCAGCAATATTGTAATCCAGCTTGGCTGCAAAACATCTAACTTAGAAACTGGGTTTAAAAGTGGTTCAGCTGCGAACTGCTCAAAAACATCACAGAAGTATCCCTTTGAAAAAAGACATTTTACACATAAAAACCACTGCAGCAACATTACTTTATGAGATGCACAGACAGACTATGACTGCATTCAATTTGCATGCAGGTGGTGAATCTCGAAGTGGTATTAAGGGATGAACCAGGGTGGATTAATTTCCAGTCTTTGATAGTCATTAACTCCAGCTTCAGAAAAAAAATACAAGGAGATGACACAATTACCCTCAGAGCTTCACCCTTGAGCAGCAGCTTTACAATCTCAAGTTCATAATGCTGTACTAATTGATCAAGAAGGGGCACATGCCTTTAGTAAGAGGTGAAAAAGTATATAGGCTTAACATAGCAATGATGGTATTTGACTTTAGGATAGTCAGCTCCACATCGGAAACACTTAACAAAAGAGTTGTCATTATTTATTCTCCAAGCCACCTGTCAACATCTAGCCCTCCATGGTTTTCAATAATTCTCTGCCAAGCAAATCTAATTTTGGCCTTAAGGTATTGGTGGCCAAGGTGCAATGTCCATTTCATTTGAAGCAACTAGCATTTAGTCTCATCATTGTATTCTATCTATATATCATGAAACCTAAGATAGATCCTTAGGAAACACTTCAGTAGAGAGGAAAACTTTCCCATTAGAAGGAAAAACAGAAGTCGTCAAGCTGTCTCAAATCCTTTCTGTAACAAAATGGTGAGAGGAAGAGACAGAGGTCACGAGCAAGAGGAATGTGCTTGCAGTAATTGAGAAGTAGCGACAACAGGCATGATGTTTATTTACCTCTGGAGCTTCAAAGACTTCGGGGTCCTTATGTAAGACTGCAGGAAAGATGGCTACTAAGTCTCCTTTTCGCACACAGTAGTCCCCGGTCTCTGAATTGAGAGCCAAATCCTCTTGGACAGTACGAACGGTACTTGAAAGTGAGCACAGTCGGAAAACCTCAAGAATGGTGCTTTCTGAAGGAAACAAACAATAGCTTATTAAAATATAACTGCTTCTGAAAAGTGCTTTTAATTTGCCATGAAACTCATTACTAATAGCCTTGATTGAAAAAGAAAGTGTTTCTTCACCACATCCATTGAGCACCAAGACGGAGCCAAGGGGGCTATGGATGGAGAAGGGGACAATGGGACAAGGGGAGGCAGCCTGGCCCCTGCACAGCTTGGGGGCATTTCGCAAGGAGGATGCAGCAGTGCTGTACTTGGGGAGAAAATCATAGATTGGGATTTATGTAGGAAAGAATGGTCTGGAAGAGAGAAAGGCTGTGTTATGGGTATACACATCGGAAATTAAAACCATACCCCAGTTAAAGTACACTGCTGATTTTACCAGCCTTTAGAACAATGATGACTTTAAAGCCAAGCTTAGCTGTTTAATAACCACTTAGGCAGTTAACAGTAAAGTAATTGTAGTAGAGCTTTCTGAAACAGCTTAACACTTAATTTCTTTTATGCTGGCTGTAAATAAAACGTGAGTCAGCACTTGCTGGAAAAATTTCAAAGGGAAAATACTTTTATCGGATTCAGAGGAAAACCATATTTTCCTCAGCATCCAGGGATAATAATAGCCACCATCATATCCTGGAAGATTCCAGAAGCCGAATGTCCTTGCTTTCCCAGTGGCCTTCACCTTTTGCTCCTAGCACGACAGATTTTATGGCTAATTTCCGGCAATTTATCCTGGCAGTTTGAGGAAGAATTCCTTTGGGAATAATATGCATAATTTGCATAAATCATTCTGATAGCATGCATATCAGCGTGTAGCTCCTGTCTAGGTCTGCATCTTTCCCTTCATAATCAAAACTGACTATGTTTCCACCAGCGTGAATGGGTCCTAGAATATAAAGCTTGATTCTTTCTAATCAGCAATGTGAAAAAGAGATCCACGTGGAGTTTTTTCCCTCTTCACATAACAAATGGTTGTGTTTATGTCTTGCAATTTAGAAATCAGACACACACACACACACACACGCAGCCTAGTCCCTTAGTGTTTAGCAAAGCTCTGAAACACAGAGTACCCAATTATTAGATTATTAAAGACAGGCCCATCAGTGAGGGCTTGCATCAGCCAAAAAATAAAAAGAAATGTTATTTCAGTAAAATTTAAATCTATGCACAGCTTGCATAGGGATATCAAGTAGCTTTGGGTGCCTTCTCCCAGGAGGTTTTTCCTTAAGCGTGCATTTGTCTAAAGAAATGAGGCTGCGGTCAGCTCTGTGTGGCCAGTGTGGTGATTCAATGTGACGTATAGTGAGGCTGTGCATATTCTCTTGGACTTCCTTCGTTATTATAATCAGGCAGAGTCAAATCGGTTTGTTGGTGATGAGGCCAGAAAAGAACTTTGGTTTTGGAACATGGACTCTACTGCAGATAGCCACAAGGCACCTGACATGACGGATTTTAGCTGGCAGGACACCAACGGCCAACATCTCCATGGTGAAAAGCAAGGGTCGGCTTTCCGTCTACTGCTGCTGGCTCTGTTGGATCAGCAACAGCATAGCATCATTTTAGCTTGTGGTGTGAAATGGTAGCTGACATATGTAGCAGTGCTGTTCACCCAACAAGTCCAGTAGGGGTGTGGGAAGAAGAAATACAAAAGCAAAATAATTGTGGGGTGGCTGCTGTGACCGAGTAGGCATTTAACAGTCCAAATAACATGGTCACATCCGATTGGCTGATGTGTTCTGGGGAAGCATGGCAGCTTGTGCCCACTGCAGTGTCACAAATGACAACTGGGCAAGCATATCCTATGCAGAAGTTAATCACAATAATGGAGCGCAAAGTGTGGCTTAGCGGTCAGATCGTAAGTGACAAATCTGTTTTACCTTCCAGTACCAGTTATGTGTGCAAGATGAGGTTGGCTCTTGCTCTGAGCGATCATGCCCATAATCATTAGACGACAAAAGTAATGAGTTACGTTATTATCAACAGTGGAGAGTCAGGCTTAGTGGATCTGCAGTGCAACACACAGACACAAAGCCAGCAGCTTTTCCACCAGCCCCAGCACGGATGCAGGCAGAGCTATACATTGAGAAGAATGACAACTGCATAATAAAAAAATTGCAGCCTCTACTTGTAGTTGTCATAGTTGAGCAGACACCAGCCAGTGCCACTGACAGACCAGCTGGGCCCTGGGAGGACTTCCATGCTGCACCAGGAGCTACAGTAAATTATCCTGCACGGTGGAACAACATCTGTTTCTGTGCTAGTGCCGAACAAACAAGGCAATTTAAAACATACCAAGGGATAACCAAGAAACAAATGAACATGACCCTCATTTTTTTTCCCCTTCTCACACACGAGGTGCTAAACTTCATTGTGCAAGCACTCCATGAAAGAGAAGCCAGGTTTTTATTTGATAAGGTGTTGTCAAAGAGATTTTACATATTTCCAAAATGGAAAGAAAAATCTTATAGTATTATTATTCTTAGAATCTTCCTTCTTCTATCTTCATTTCTTTTATATCAAAGCTAGCACTCGGTTCTCAATTTACTCTAGAATTTAAAAAAAAAAACTTTCCATATACTTATAAATATTCAGTCTTTAAACCTAATTTGCTATACTTAGTTCACATGCCTTCAAGCATTTGTCTTCCAATTTCCACTGAATAAATGCGTACTAATGAGAACTAGAGCAAGCTGCTGAGGCAAAGCTGGGTGACTTGGGTCTGGCCTGCCACCAGCTTGTGATAGGCGGGCAAATTGAGTTAAAATGAAAAGTCGTGTCAGCTGAAATTCAACATGGTAGCCAAACAGCAAGCTGTCAATCATCCAGCCAAAACAGGGGACTACAGGTAATAAAAGGTCACTGAGAATCATTAGTGTAGTTGGCATTCATATGGAAGTTCATTTTAATTACACATGATCTGTCTGTAAATGTTTTATACAACTTATTGTGCATAATGGATTGTTAATTTATACTAATATTTAGCAGGTAATAGGACACTTTAATAATTAGAATGCACTGTAAAAAAATGGCTGCAAATATTTGGGTGATAAAATTTACAACAGGCAATGCAAGGTGTCAACAATTGCAATTGTGATTAAGATAAGGTTGCCTGTGTCTTATTAAGAACTGAGCTTTACTGATCTGTATACATTAGGAAATTGGATTACAAAATTCCCACAATAACCTCACAATCCAGAGCCTGCACTACCTTCTTCACCTGGGTAAGGAAGACTTGTTTTTTCTTTCAGGATATAAATCTATTCTGATTAAATATCCCTTCTAAGCAAAAAGCTGGGGAATGTCTTGAGCTAAGACGCTTTACAATTTAACTGTGAAGGAAAATGGCAAATGAAAGAAAATCCTGGTAGGAAAAGGCATATATATACTTTCTTTTTTGTCTGCAGACCTCAATTCTGCCTGTAATAATTGACAGATGATTCTCATTTGCAGATGTAAAGCACTAAAGCAGCTCATGACAATCAATAATGCAAGTTACAATGCAAACACAAATAAGCACATCCGGGTTTCTGCCTCACACTTAGGCCACATCTCTATATGTAGAATGAATGTACTGTGACAAGGCCAGCCTGTTAATTTGGGTCATCTTAATGATTGGTGCAGGCTGGCATGCCATCTGATTAGCCATGGTCATCAGTGGACAGCAGTGATGGCTGCAGCAAAATGAACAGCCAGGTCCTGCCACAGTCTCTGGGGCTGAACACCTGGGTGGCCTTGAAGAGAAAGTGGAGAAAGGGGCAAAGGTGCAGTGCTCTAGAAGGTGTGATGATTTGGAGCAGGGCTCAAGATGTGTGTGTGTGTGTGTGTTTCTACAAAACTGCCTTCAAGAAAGATGAGAAGGTAAATAAGAAATTGTGATTGTTAATCGTATAATTTGAGGCAAATCGCTGATCTT